ACAGAATTAAGTCACAACTACTACCATTTGGAGAAAAAACTGGTGACATGTGAGCATGTTTCCTTTCTGTCTATTTTTCTTTCATGTGTTTTGCATGCTGTTTTATATTCTACTTCATAACATACAAGCTAGAGAAAGCATTTCCATATGTGAAGAAAACCCTTGGCAAACATGGTCTTGAACACGTGAGGTGTGATGATGTGCAGTCATGGCCCCGAGTCCCGCTGAGCCATGAGCCAGGAATAAAACTCACCAGTTTACTGGGCAGGTGCTGGTCGTTTTCCAGAGCCTTCCACAGCTCCTTCAGTTGTCCCATGAATACATGGAAATGTGCGCTCGTGTCCAGCTTGTAGAGCAGAGAGCTGTAGCCCTGGACGGCATCGTGGAAGCAGGCTACACGGTCCATGTCCATGTCATTCTCCCCCGCGAAGATGAACGCCAGGTCCACAAACACCTTCAGCTCGTTGATGCCTTGGGGCGAGAGGGGACAGGTGAGGGTGGGGCCACTCCATGGGACACGAGGCTCACACCATGGACAATAGTCTTTCGAGGAGCTATACATGGACATCCAGTGCATTTTTAGGGATTGATCTGCTTTCAATAAGATTCCAGGCACCTTTTCTCTTGCTTCTCATTGGAATACCAGTGACCAGTGCCTGAACTCACTAACAGTGGGGTACAGACACCACACGAGGCTGTGTGCCCCTGACTCCATTTATCCACGCAATGTCACCATCCTTTAAAAAAGTTAATTCTTTCCTGAGGATATGCTTTTATAATCGATTTTACAGAGAAAGGAAGGGAGAGAGAAACATGGATGTGAGAGAGAAACATCAATTGGTTGCCTCCCATATATGCCCTAAAAGGGGATTGAACCCGCAACCTATGTTTGTGCCCTGACCAGGAATTGAACCTACAACCTTTTGGTGCACGGGATGATGCTCCAACCTATTGAGCAGCACCAGCCAGGGCAGGAGCAAGGTTTTTAAGAAAATGATCCCCCTTGCCCAGCCGGTGTGGCTCAGTGGTTGAGCATGGATCCTTGAATCAGGAGTTCACGGTTTGATTCCCTGGGCACATGCCCAGGTTGTGGGTTTGGTCCCCAGTGTGGGGCGAGCAGGAGGCAGCTGATCGATGATTCTCTACCATCACTGATGTTCCTATTTCTCTCTGCCTCCCTCTATCTTCCTCTCTGAAATCAATAAAAATATTTAAAAGAAAGAAAGTAAATGACCTCCAGCTGCCCAGAGCAAACCTACAGAGTGAGGGAGCACTAGCCAAGGACACAGCTTTTACACCAGAGCATGAGAAATACTCTCCTGATATAAATTCTACCAGAAACCACGCAGAGCACACATCCTAAGGAATGCAGATGGCACCCTCTGTCCTTTCCCCAGCCCGTCAACTTAGAACAGCCACCCATGCGCCATTGGGACACCCAGGCTCCTGCAAACCCCAGTGACGACCATACCTTTGACAGCCTCCCGGACCCAGTGGACGAACTCCCTGGCCAGGGCCAGCTCCAGCAGACACTGGCACCGGGCCTCGTTCATGTCCCGCAGCTGCTCGTTGGCACTGATGACCTGCCTGTCGATCTGGCCCAGTTTTTTATGACGAGAGTTCTCAGAGGCTTCGGTCTGTAAGACAAGGGTCTGCTGTGGGCTGAAGCTGGTCACCTGGAGCCCTGAGTCTGAGCAGGAACACAGACCGTCCCAACGGCCCCTGAACCTCCTGGGTTTGTGGCTGCTACGATGTGGACGGGCACACGGGTCTCTCATCCCAGAACTAGATGCTGTATCCCCCTCCCCTGATCAGTAATAACCACCCCTGGTCTCTGGGGACATTCTGCTAAGCAGCTTCCACAAGAACCACCTGGCATGTGTTATTTTCCTGCGTTGTAGGTGGAAAAGTGAGGGCCCAGACCCGGGACCCACTCCAGAGCCCACTGCTATAGCTCACGCCTATGCAGGTGTGATTCCAAATCGTGTGCTGAGTTTTCATCCTCTTCACACCCTTCTCTGCTGCTGTACAGGCCCCAGTCTGCCTCCTAAACTCTTGTCCTCAAAGAGCAGAAACCGAAAGACCCCCTTCTTACTGATGTTCACAGAAGTCACTCTTTGGGCGGCTCCCACAGACAGGAGGGGGCAGCCACGGAGCCAGGCCTTGGCTCTCTACAAACATCCAACATCTGAGAGGGCCACACAGCCCTGTCCTGTGTCCTTGATGCTCGTGTCAGGGAGCTGTCACACTATGTATAAGCCGAGGGGAAACCAGGTCCCTGCACATTCAGCACCCAGTGAAATGCAAACAGGAAACTCCCGTCCAGGCTTTACAAGCCAGAGAGCCCAGGGCTGCCAGGAGTCTGAGCTGGGACCCCACCTGAACCCCAAGGGTCCCTGGCAAATAACTTACGATTCTTAGTACAAAGTGGAGAAGACTGAAGTCCCCAGTCAGGCCCAAGGTCTCTTTGACCTCCAAGATGACCTTGGCTGCCTTGGCAGACAGATGCAGGTGGTGGTATTCCCTGACCTGCCCCATTCGCTCCTGGATCCAATCCCTTGGGTCCCTGGGGTCCAGGGCACACATGACTCTGAGGTCAAAGGTGAGGTCGTCATATTTATTCACAAAGACGCCGAAGATGGTGTGCACTTCCCCTAAGGTGAGCTCGCCCGACTTCAGGTCCTCATACAGTTTCCTGAACTTGTTGAAGCAAGGAAGGTACAGGTCATCATACACATCTTCAATGTCCACAAGCGGCCCTCCCTGTACCTCCTCCTCCTCTGGCGGAAGGAGCGCCCGGGCGGCCTCTGCCCAGAAGGTCCGGAAGATGTGACTGTCCTTGAGCAAGTCTATTGTTGTGGCCATTTCTCGAACGTGGGCGCTCAGGTTGTAGTGCGTTACCCACTCCATGTCTAAGGAGGTGGGGGATGGACTCGCCATCACAACATCATTTAGGCATTTCCTGCCCAGGTCTTCTGCGTGTTTCTTGGCAATCTTTCTGCAGTCCACTGTGAAACCATAAGAGGACATCACCCGTGAGCCCACCAGTCCAACGGGACTCTCCCCTCCCCCTTGCTGCTCCTGAGGAAACTCGAGGGATCGCACTCACTGGCATTTTTTCTCTCAATACGAGTCCAGACACCCGCTCCCCACCCCCGCCTTCAATTTTCACAACAAAGCCTTATAAGTTCTGGGTGAAGAAAGGCACCCTCTTTACCCGCTCCCCATACCCCACTTTGATGCCAGAACAGAGAGAGTTCTGTAAAAAGTCACACACCACCTGGGCAGGAAGAACAGAGAGCCACAACCTGTAAGATGTGACAGTGGATGGGCCCATCGGAAGTGGGGCCCAAGGCCTAGAATGTGGAACCGCAGCCTGCCATGGGGACACTGGGAGCCCAGCAGGTTCCTGCTCAGGGAGCTGGACTGTGGGGATGCTGATGAGACCAGGAAGGGACAGGCTGCTTTTCGCCCCATTCCTTCTTCTTTCCCTCCTCCTCTCCCTCCGCTGGTCTAGTAGCAGCGGGAGGTCCCATTCCCACCGGGGCACAGAGGGTGGTGGACCTGGAGGTCTCAGGTCCCTGGGGAATAATGGCATTTCCAGACACGCATGGCACTGAACTTCAGGAGTAAGAAAGAGGGGACAGAAGACACGGGGGCAGCAGAAGGCAGGCGGGAGCACCAAAGGGAAAGGGGGCCGACCCGGCGCTGGAAGCCCTGCAGCCCACTCCTCTCTCAACTCCCAGAGCCATGCTCATGTGAGGATGGGAGATGCAAGCGCCCCACAGAGAAGACTCCAAGGCACAGCACATCCAAGGCCCTTCCTGCTGCCAGTTCTATGTCAGCTTACCAGGCTCCTCACTTACTGAAACAAGAAAACCAAGAATGTCCAGAGCCTTTCACGTGGGTGGTAGATAGGAAAACACAGCAACAGGTAAAAGGGACTCAGAGGAAAGGAAAAACTATATGCAAAATAGAAAAACCGCTAAACCCCAAATATCAATAACCTCAGGAAGATAAGATACTGTAACCACGAACAAGCACAGGAGGGCACAGAAAAAGGGCGTCCAGGAGGCCCAGTATCCGATTCATGTCAATCCTGGCAAGAGAGGAAACGCCCAAGGAAACAGTTTAAGAGAATGTTCCAGATCTCAAGGGCTTGGATGTCAAGTTTCGAAAGACCACCAAATTATGCCCAATGCTTGGAGAGAAAATGCACCCATACGGGGGCCCACATTTCAGAATCCTGGGGACAAAGAGATCTAAGAGCCTCCAGAGAGAAAATGTCCCCACAAAGGAGCAGCCATTAGCATTGCTCTCGACTTCTCAATGGCCACGCTGCAGAGACCACGGTGCCACATGCGCAGCATCTGGAAGGAATAGGACTTCCTGTCTGTAATTCCGACCGAGTCCACGATTACCCTAGTGTGAGGGCGGACATTCGCAGACTCACAAGGACGCAAGAATTGACCCTTTTCAGTCCCATTTCGCAGGGACATAATGGAAGATAATGTTCAACTAAAACCCAGGAGTGAGAGCGGGAGTCCAGGATCCCAGAAACAGACCCAAACGAGGAGTGAGGCAAAGAACAGCCCCAGGACGGTGCAGGAAGATTCTAGGGCTCCCTGTCCCGTGAGGGGAGGCTCCGAAAAGATCAGACTGATCATATTTCAAGGAAGTTACAACGAAGAGTATGGAATTGAATTAGAAAGAAAAAACACTGGAAATGTTACAGGATTCCAGGGCCGGAGGAATAGGGAAACTGAGACAGGAAAGTTAAGACAAGGCCAAACAGTGGGGCAATCTGCAGCCAGCTTGTCACTAACAAGCCGCTATCTTCCCCAGACAAGGACATAGCAAATGGTTAAAAACCTCCCTCATGAGAGACTGCAGAGAGGGAGGGGAGGGGAAAGGGGAAAAAGGCAGTTGTATTTCTTTCACTCCCTAAGCAGAGAAGCCAGCCTCCTCAAGGCGTGGCAGGATAAAATTGCCAGGTGCTTCACATGAATTCTGGGAAGGCCACAGCAAAGTAAAAAGGGGCCTTGAGAATTAATCTGCACCAAATATTCAGCAGAGGAATTCTGTAACCTACAGATAGGAGGGTATATAGCACCTCAGACCCCCACCCAACCTGCTCTTCAGATTAGCTGAGAACCCGTCTGCACTTTATGAGCCAGATGTATACGTTTACTTGCTTTGCTTTTTCAATAAAGGTGCATGCTTTAATTGCTTTAATAAATTGGCTCTCATAACACAGTCAAGGTCTCTCGTATAAATTCATTTATATGAGAAGACAAGGATCCAGGCTGGGGACGTCCTTTCCCACTGGCTCAGGGGCTGTCCTGTCCAAGAACACCTCTCCGGTGTCCATCAGAGGTGCCTCTAACAAAAACAAAGCACAGGATGAGACAAGAATTTCCAATCTAGAGGAAACCAAGCTTGTGCGTGAAGGTAAGGTGATCGTGGTTTCCTTTGGGGCTCGGCGGTCAAAGCGCATTTACACAGTGGTGACCATTCAGGCCCTGAGCAGTGAGCGAATGAAGAGTGAGTAAAGGGAAAGGGAAAGGTGGTGTGTGTAGGGCAGAGACTGGAGAAACTAAGAGCCCTAATCGTCCACCATGGATAACACTTAAACCCGGAAAATCCAGGAGCAATTTAAGCGTGTTATTGAGAGGGATGGGGTAAATACCCAAAAGAACAAGGTGACAGGTCCAACTTTGTTTAAAATGGACACTTTACCAACAACCTGCCCTCCGAGAGAAAGACCGCTGTGGAGACATGTTTCTATTGGACTCTCCTCTGACCCTGAAGTTTGGTTCATTAAAATTCTGATGCGAGTCACCTTTCACCCAGTGTTTCACCCCCTCGCACAGCTTCAGAAGACTGTCCACCCGGCTCTGCTCTTTCTGTAGAAATTGTAGTTCTTTCCACCTGGAGTCCAGCACTTTCTTCATATCGTATTTTTCCTCCTGGGGTGAAAGACTTTTTCTCTCTGGGAAAAAAAAAAGTTACCCAATAGAACAAAGGAACATATTCTTTACTGTGGCAACCATTTCTTCCCTCTTCTTTTGAATGTGATGCACATTCAGGTATATGGGGGTGGGAGGAGGGAGGGGGCTGCAAGCCCAGCCCCTCCATCCAGGTGCCCGCCCTCAGCAGCATGGGATGGGCCTTGAGCACTCGGACTTGGTCATCACTTTCCTGTTCTTTTTCCTGAGGATTAGACACCATGTGACATGAAATGCAACATCTGATTCCATCTGGAATCCGGTTGCTCTCCATAATAGTGCTGAAACAACTGACAAAACCTAGATGGAGTATGGACATTCCAGGGAGTCACCTGTTAAGGTTAATTTTCTGACTTTAGTGGTTACATTGTAGTCACGTGGGGAAAGTTCTGACCTAGAGGAAATACACACTGAAGTTCTCGGGAATGATGGGTATTCATTGGGCAACCTACTCTCAAATGGTGTAGGGCTTTTTGAACAGTTTTTTCAATATAGTTCCCATTGTTTTAGAATGTTGTAATTGTTTTAAAAATAATAAATAAAATCATCCATCTTTTCTTTTTTTTTTCCAAAAGAAAAAAAAAAGAATCTGTCCTGTCAATTTAGTGGCAAGAAGAGCCCTTCATCATACCAAGGACAAAGACCACCCTTCTAAGGAACCCTGTGAGCGTAGACATTCCCCGTCCGGGTCCTCAGCAGCCAGGTGTCCCTCATCAGCTCCATACTCACTCAGCTCCCAGATGTGAAGAAACTGAGTCATGTGATTCCTGATCAGCTGCAGCTGTTCCACCAACACCGTGCGGCTGAGGAGGGCCTCGGCCACCTTGGTGAAGACCGAGTCTGCCATGGCCATCAGCTTCTTGCCATCCTCCGTGATGTGCGCTAGTATTTTCTTGTCGGTTCCTGCTCAGATTTATAAAAGTTTAAAATCAGAGCCTGCCTGTTTCCTGCATGGCTCCCGCTGCAAGCTGAGGCCTCCTGGGCTCTCCTTGCTGCCCGGCCCAATGCCAGGCAACACGTGCAGAGGCCTCACACACTTCCTCAATCATGAAGACAATTCCTCCAACTGCACAGTCAGCTGAGAGAACCACGTTTCTCGGGTTTTTAAAATCCGTGCGCCCTTCAGTTTTCTGGACCCACACAGACTTTCCTCTCAATTCCACCATTTCCAGAATTCCCACGGCAGAAGAATTCACCCCAGCAAGGTGGCATCACAGAGGCGCTTTCATGGCCCATGGACACAAGTGCACCAACTAGGCCCTGCTCTGCTTATCCGGCTATCTTGAAAATTTTGAATGTGAATTTCAGGATCAATTTAGAGGGCAGAATTTTAAAATATACTCAGGTTAACCACCAGGAGATTTCTTTCCAAGTAATAGCTGGGTTGTATAGTATTATGAGGACACCAAGTTTATCTATGCCACTAAAAATCAATAAGGCAATTTTATTAGTAATTGCAAAACCTAGGAAGCACCCAAGATGTCCTTCAGTAGGTGAATGGACAAACTGGTCCATCCAAACAATGGACTATTAGTCGATGATTAAAAAACACACACAAAAACGTGCACACCCTGGCCAGTGTGGTTGGGCATTGTCCCACATACAGAAAGGTTGCTAGTTCAAGGCACTCGCCTGGGTTTGGGGCTTGATCCCCAGTAGGGGGAGTGCAGGAGGCAGCCAATCAATATTTCTCCTCATGTCGATGTTTCTCTCTCTCTACCCCTCCTCCCTCCCTTCTAGTCTCCCTAAAAATCAATGGAAAAAATATCCTCTGGTGAAAATTAACAACAAAAACACACGGGGACCTTCAGGAGGACCCTCAGGACAGCTTCAAGGACACAGCAGCTGTGCCCAGCAGGTGTACCAGGGATGGTGGCCTTAGGATTGGTTCTCATCCACATCCAAGGCACCCTGGCCCTTGCCGGGCCCCTCTAGACCATTGGCTTCCTTGCTGGACATCCGCTGCCCTCATCAGGTGTCAGGTCAAATGTCCTGCCCTGTTGCAGGTCAGAAGGACGTGAGTGGACACCCCCCAGAACATACTGTACAGTTTGAAGAGATGCTTGACGTCTGGCCACGTGAGTAGGTATTTCAGAACCTCAGCCAAGTCATCCACGGCCTCCCCGTTGCACCTGGGCCAGGACTTGGTGACCACGGCGGACGCAAGGATCCCGAATCTCTGCAGGTTGCTCTGAGAGAGTCCCTCCAGAATGCTGGTCTGCGACTAAAGAAAATGAGAACAGAGAAGGGAATTCAGGAAGGCGTCTTTTTGGGGTTATTTTTTTGTTTTGTTTTTAAGTAACAGAAGTAAATTACCCAATTTCAGAAAGCTTTTGTGACTAGTTTTACAAAGCTTTAAAAAACCCCACAAAAGAGTTAAATACTTCACTTTTATTAAAGCATTTTTCTTCGCAGTGAATTGTCTCCTTGAGCAGCAACCCCCAGAAACGTGTTAGTGTGGACTCACAGACACGCCCCACACATCACTCCCCACCCTCTGGCTCACCACCAGTGTCTGCACTTTTCCTGCACTTTCATGTCATGAAAAACAGCAAACATAGCATCAGTAAGTCATCAACCCATCAAATACTTTGTATTCCTAAACTGTCTTTTGTAAGGCCGCCTGCATACAGCATATACTAGTATATTGTAGGGCTCTTCTCTGCTTCCCCACGACACAAAATGTTTTCCTTCTTTAAGTTTAAAATTTTTACCAAAAATGTCAGCCTGGGAACCAAAGGGTCTTGTGTTTGATTCCCAGTCAAGGGCACATACCTGGTTGTAGGTTCCAACCCCAGCCCCAGTTGAGGTGCATTTGAGAGGCAACCAATCAGTGTGTCTTTCTCACACCGATCTCTCTCTCCTTTCTCTCTCTCTCTCTCTTTCTCTCTCTCTCTCTCTCTCTCTCTCTCTCTCTCTCTCTCTCTCTTTCTCTCTCTCTCTCTCTCCCTTTCTCCTCTTCCTCCTCCTCCTCCTCCCTCCCTTGCTTCCATTCCCTCTAAAAATCAATGGAAAAAATATTCCCAGGTGAGGATTAACTAACTAAGTAAATAAATAAAAGGATAAAAGAAAGCCGTATCCAACAACTTATAAAAAGGATTAAACACTGAGACCAGGAGGGATTTATCCCAGGGATGAAAGGTTGGTTGAACATAAAAAAACAATTGAATGTAATACATCGAATCAATAGAAAAAAATTACCTGATCATCTCAATAGACTAAGAAAAGTATTTGACAGAATCCAGCACCCTTTCATGATAAAAATACTGAACTAGAAACAGGAGGCACTCCTCACCTGGTAAAGGGCACCTATCATCTATGGAACCCCCAGCTAACTCCACGCTCAGTGGAGAGAGTAGCAAGACAAGGGTGTCCCCTCTCTCCACTTCTATTCAACTTGGTGCTGGGAGCTCTGCTCGTGGTGGTCAGGCAGAAACAGGCATAAAAGGCACCCAGATCAGAAAGGAGGAAGAAAAACTCTCTCTGTTCACAGATGACATGATCTTACAGAAAGCGCTAAAGAGCACACATGCATGCACACAGGCCTACATGCACACACAGACCTACATGCACACACACCTACACACACACACACACACGCCCACATGCATACAAAGAAGGAGGCTGTGCCTGAGAGGCGTTGTAGGGCAGAATATCTCCTTACTTTGCAGAAAAAAAATTCCTAAGTGAATGGATAGGAACAGACACTTATCCATAAATGTTTTGTCAACCTTTGGCATCTCTCACTGCACAGGTGCAGTGTGGGAGACAACGCACACCAGGAGCGTGGACTTCACAGGGACCTTTGCTAGCGGCTGGGGACACCACCGGACTCGGTCACACCTGAGTGGCTGTGATTGACCGCACGTCACAGCTGCGCCACCTCGGGAAGCTGAGTGGCATTTCCAGGAGCTGATCAAGGGCCCCAGACTCCAGAACCAGTCCTGCCAGCCAGGAGGGGATGCCTGTGCCTTCACAGGGGGTTGAAGCCCGTCTCAGAGCCCATGGGCACTTACCAGACCTTCCTGACAACATTGGAAGGCAGCTGTGACCCTGAAAGCGTCCCTGGTGGGCTAGCTTGCTCACCTGGCAGGCCAAGCCTACAGCTTCAATGGCACATTTCTCGAAGCACTTGGACACGCTGTCGTCAGCGCCCGCAGTTGCCCAGCCAGTGCTGCAGTAGGCGGAGATCTGGGAGAGCGGCCTCTCCTGCAGGGGCGAAAGGGGCAGAGCTGGGGGCAGCACCCTGAGCTCCAGGGGACACAGGGGCCTAGTGTTTTCACTTCCCCACCCTCTTACCATTGCCCATTGTTGGAACCTTCTTCCCACTCACTGCCCCCCAAACATCAGACCAACAACAAGACCACTCTACAGAGAAGGTGCCTGCACTGAAGTTTGCAAAAAGAGGTGAGTTTTGAAAAGTAACGTGATTTTTCCTTGTTTGTGTTTTCCTGCAAAGATCCATTGAACGTTATATATAAAGTTCCCACGTCACGTTTAAAAAAATCAGCCCTGGTCCTGGCCGATTTGGATAAAGCATCGGCCCGATGACTGAAGAGCTGCGGGTTCGATCCGGGTCAAGAGAATGTATCTCAGTTGCAGGTTCGATCCCCAGGCCCATTGGGGTGTGGGAAGAGGCAGCCAATGGATGTGTCTCTCTCACATCGATCTTTCTCTCTGTCTCTCCCCCTCCCTTCTTTGAAAATCAATGGAAAAATATCCTTGGGTGAGGATAAACAACAACAAAATCAACCCCAATGTTTTGAGGGTCATGGGCCTGAACTAAAACAAAGAGCACGTCTGTGTTTTCCCCACTGGTCGCCGGGTTTAACAGGCTCCTGTCACCAGGGGCCACTTGGAGGCCCCGCATGCATGGGGTTCCCCTGGTGCAACCCCTGTTCCCCATTGTTCTCTGGAATTCCATCCAAGGCCCCTCAGCAAAGGCTGCACCAGGAGCAGCGATGAAGCCATATTTGCCCACCCCTGGGCACCGGAGGGCAGTCCACCCATTTGAACGACCTTCCCCTCCATGGTGGTCACCAATGTCTGGTTCTCTCAACCTGCCTTCACCCCCAAGAAATACGGCCCCGACCCCGCTACCTGCTTGAGCCTTCCTTCCAGGTCCCCCAGCAAGGACTCCTTCCAGCCGTGTTCATCTGGGAAGCGAATCTCCACCAGCCGCCGCCACACCTGCAAGGCCACAAGTGAGGGACAGCCCCGTTACAGGAAATGCCACAATGTAAGCCTTCCAAAGACGACTGTGGTGACACAGAGGGCTCTGCACTGCGAGGCCACCTGGCGTGGGACCTGGCCACGGTTACTGGAGCTGTCCGCGGGGTCAGGGCACCCACCTCAGCCCCAGAACACGAAGGACCCTGACTGCACAGGGAACCACTCTGGTCCTTCATTGTGAAACTGGTTGTTATTCAGAAATTATTTTTCTCCAATGTTTTATTTTGAAAAATGTCAAACTTGTGACACTGCCATTTACCTCCATCAGATCCCCAATGTTCACCTCAAACATGCTCTCTCTCCCTCTTCAGGCGTTTTCTCTGCCTGGTCCCTGGGAGGTGAGCCACCGAGGCAGTGCCACTTGGCCCCTAAATACTTGGGCAGGCGTCTCCGACCACGTGGCCCACACGCCACACAACACAGTATGAGTCACGCTCAGGACAGTGCCGTGGGTCTGACACTTCTCTAGGCGGGTCCCTGTCCACATCCCTCCCATCACTCACATATGTCCAGATACAACACGGAACATGCAGTACGTTTGGTGACCACATCTCTTTCCCAGCAACGCCCTTGCGGCCCTTTCTTTCTTGAACAACGTGTACAGTTCTGAAAAGCTCTGGTTTTCGTGAGAATGAGGGAAGCAGGCTTTGCTTTATAGAAACCCAGTCCATGGAGCCGAAGGTGCCCCATTCCACAGGGAGGAGCCCTATAGAACCCTCCCATCGAGGGCAGAGATCATTCAGGTGAACCCCTTGGTCACCCTGACACCCCGATCACCTTGATAACTACAAGGACACAAGGAGAAAACAGACACGTTAAAAACCAAAAATGGGCCTGGCCGATGTGGCTCAGTAGTTGAGCGTCAACCTATGAACCAGGAGATCATGGTTCGATTCCAGGTCAGGGCACATGCTTGGGTTGCAGGCTCAATCCCAAGTGTGGGGCGTGCAGGAGGCAGCTGATCAATGATTCTCTCTCATCATTGATGTTTCTGTCTCTCTCTCCTTCTCCCTTCCTCTCTGAAATCAATAAAAAATATATGTTAAAAAATAAAATAAAAAATAAAAACCAAAAATGGGAGTGAATAAAGCTTCCCAGATAGAGCCCTGCCCAGCCCTGGCGGAGCCCTGTCCACATGTGCTTAAGGTGTTACTGCAAGCTTAGACCCAATCCAGTGGCCGCCCCGTCCCTTGCCCTCCTCCACAGCACACAGTTCTATTCCACACCGGTCATCTTCAAAACGCTCCCACCTCCCACCTCCTACCTCCCACTGCCCACCTTTTTTTGGGCCCATGTCTCTCTTTCTCACATTCAGATGCCATTCTGCCCAGCTTCCATTTCAAGTACTGGTAGTTCCTGCTTTCATCTTTTCTTTCCAAGTCCAGCATCACAAACTTCATAACCTTAGTACTAAATCAGACCCCAAGTGACCCCCACAAGTCCTCCCGCCAAGAGCACCTCCCTGGCAAGGTCTGCCTGCTGCCGGGGCTCCCGGTAGGCATGTGACCAGCGCCTGGCCTTGCAGATCCCACTGGGGAGGGCAGGGACTGGAGACCTGAGGCCCATGCACAGGATGGGGCACCCCGCTGAGGTCCTGGAGCTCAGGATACAGCCTGAGGTGTTGCATCCCTGTGCAGTCACGTTTCATGGGCTGTGCATGGTCGCCAGCTCACCTGGATCTCCTCACTGTAGGTGAAGCTGACAGAAGAGTCATTTGAATTGCAGAAGATGCACTGCTTGAAGGTTCCCCGAAACCACGCTCTCGTGGCAGCGAGGGCTCCCTGGGCCACTCTCCTCACTGAGGTCCTCATCCCAGTGTCACTTTCCGGCCCTTCCTCAGAGTCCTGTTAGCAAAGGGGAGGTAGGGAGGGGGGGGGGGAAGATGCACTGGAAGGTTCCCCGAAACCACGCTCTCGTGGCAGCGAGGGCTCCCTGGGCCACTCTCCTCACTGAGGTCCTCATCCCAGTGTTGTCTTCCGGCCCTTCCTCAGAGTCCTGTTAGCGTACTGTAACTTCCAGCCTAAGACCCAAAAGCCAAGGTGCACATGGGATCACACAGCATCCTCTGTGCGGTGAGCCGGCCAGCCGGCCATGGATGATGGATGAGGGGAGCAGCCGCTTTGTGCCATCCTACAATCCCACACTTGGCCCAGCTCCTTTGTGAACGAGGTCACTGGAAACTCCGTTGCTGTCCTGGGCGTGACACAACCTGGAGCCCACTCACCACTATAGGTTTCAGCCTGATGACGATGCAGACGATCTCGGCAGATGAGGCGAGCAGCTCGTGAGTCATCAGGCCTTTTGTGAGTTCGCAGATGGCCTCGTGCAGCTTCAGGCACACGGTCAGGTAGGACGGCACCAAGGGCTCCTGGAGAACCCTGCACCGCAGTGAGTGAAGAGAAATCACTGGAGGGACCCAGGGAATGGGAAACATCACCATCATTCAGGGCGCACTCCTTCCCGTTAAGTACCAGCAGCAAGGCATCCATTGGATCCCTATATAGCATAACATCGGGGAAATTTCAATCCATCTCAAACTTGCAACCAAGATAAAAAGCAAACAACCAGGCCAATGTGGGTCAGTGGTTGAGTGTCTACTTCTGAACCTGGAGGTCACCATGGGTTGTGCATATATTTTCTTTGGCTAATCCCCTCTTTAAATTCACTTTTTAAAATTCTTATTTTCAGATAAGTGCTTATAACTGCACTATTATATATTTTCTATTATATCATTTAGAATTAAGATATTTTTTAATTGAACCCTTGTAAATTTTAGCACAATTTAATAAATTATGCTAGAAGCAATTAGGAGATTTTTCATGTAATGCAGATACATTTCAATTAATATTTTATTAATTTTTAATTTTTTAATATTTTAATTTGAAATAATCTCATACATGTAAAAAAAAAGCTATAAAATACTACAGCATATTACATGTACCCTTCACCCAATTTCTTAGGTGTTAATAATTTAAACATAACCATTATACAACTAACAAAATTTGGAATATATTTTTCTTATAATCTCTTTAATGTTACTTAATCCATTTACTTTGTTTTTGTTAATCTTCACCCAAGGATATTTTTCCATTGAATTTTAGAGAGAGTGAAGGGAAAGGGAGAGACACATTGATTGGTTGCCTCCTGCACATGCTCTGATAGGGACTGGGGATCAAGCCAGCAACTGAGGTACATGCCCTTGACTGGAATCAAACCTGGGACCCTTCAGTCCAGGGGCTAATGCTCTACCCACTGAGCAAAACAGGCTGCAGCTTAATTCATTTACTTTTAATCTATATGTGTCTTTATATTTAAAGTGGGTTTTGTTTTTGATTCACCCTCATAATCTGTCTTTTAATTGGTGCATTTATGCCACTGACTTTCAGAGTGCTTACTGATAGAGTTACTACCATATCAGGCAGATTCTGGGGCTTCTGGGGCTTCTGGGGCCGGCCTGCCCTGGATGGCGGTGCGCTGGCGGCTGGTGCTGTCCCACCCTGCCTGCAGTATGTAAATTAGCCGCCATCTTTGTTGGCGGTTAATTTGCATATCTCGCTGATTAGCCAATGGGAGGCGTAGCAAAGGTACGGTCAATTACCATGTTTGTCTATTATTAGATAGGATTTGCAGCAAACCAGGGACACCTCCCTGGTCTGAAGTGTTTTAACAAAGATGAGTTAAAGTATTCCAAGGGTATCCCCTTACTTGAGAAAAAGCTAGGAATGTACATTTTAAAGATTAAACTATTATGTCAATTTGAAAACGATTCTGAAAGATACAGGGAGGGAGGGCAAAAGGAAGAGAAGCTAGAATAGCTGCCGTGTGCTGTGTAGCCTTCTCCAGGTTTTGTGTCTACTGACAGTTGCTGAGTTGATCCAAGTGGGCTCAGACAGGGCCACAGCAGCGAATGGCCGGGGGATGCTGTACTGTGCAGAGCTGTCTAAGGCCTCTGTGTCACAGGTTCCTGAGTGCCCTGTCTCTGACCTGAACACCTGAGAACTCAGGTGAGAGAGAGGGGAGGTGCTGCGGACTCTTAGTGATCGCCTGTCCTGCCCTGTGAACATTTCTATGGTGTCCTGTGCACTGCCCCTCCAGGGTCAGAGGCCAGGAGCCAATGATTTCGGATGATGACATGGAGCTGTGCTAAGGTTGACATGTGAAGGCCAGATGCTGATGGAGCGCAGGGCACAGGCTTGGGTGTGCAGCACGACGACGACCATTGAGAAACAAGTGGGAGATGCATAGAAAACCAGACTAAAAAGTCACCAGTTCATAGCTATTATTGTCCCTTAAAAAACAGGATTATCGCATTAATAAATCAAAGGAGGAAGTGGGCTCTGCATGGTTTATGGCCTTCCGACCATGGCGGCAGCTCTGGGACACTGCCACCCGGGGTGGGGGGCCACCGCAGCCCCAGGACAGCCTTTTGCTTTGTTACTTACTTGTCCTGAAAGGTACCCAGCAGGTGCAGCAGCATTTTTAAAGTTTTGTCAATATCCTAGGGTGGTGAAGAAAAGAAAGACAGGAGAGACTTAATCACGGCACCACAGTCTTTGCTAAAACAGACCTGAAAAAACCCAGCATGAATAAAACCAAGCAATAAATTATTTTCTTTCTACAAACGTGTTTTAAGGTGCTCAAATACTAAACTTGATCTTTCGGAAATAAATTCGGGATTTAGAGTTATGCCATTGTTTTCGGCCCCAAAATGGGAGAGGAAGATGGTAACTGTGTCCTGTCCTGATGCTCAGGGGTGACCTCTCACCCTGCCTCACACAGACACAAAAAGGGAAGGCTAGAGTTTTACTGAAACGGAAGAAACAGGGAGCCTCCCAGTACAGTTTCTTCCTTTTTAAAAATTTCTTTATTTTTATTTATTTGTTGATTAATTTCAGAGAGAGGAAGGGAGAGGGAGAGAGATATAGAGACATCAGTGATGAGAGAGAATCATTGATCGGCTGCCTCCTGCACAGCCCACACTGGGGATCGAACCCACAAGCAGGACTTGTGCCCTGACAGGAATTGAACCATGACCTCCTAGTTCATAGGTTGGCACTCAACCACTGAGCCACACTGCCAGGTGCAGTGCACTGTTTCTAAGTGTGTCACCCATCAGGTTTCCCTGAGAAGAGGAAGCAGGGCTCTGCACGCTAACTTGCTGGGGCACTTGTGCCAAGTGAGCCCTCCAGTGCCTGCTGCAGGCGACGGACCTCCAGGTTTTTGTTGACATCCTTATGTCCTTGAAGCCGGTACCGGGTCCCCAGCAGACAGTCCAGGACACGCGCTGGAAAGCGAGTCAGGTAGTCAGAGAATTCCTGCAGGTAGGCAGCCAGGCTGCTCAGAGGCAGCAGACTGAACCAGGACCGGAACAGGTCTTCATCCACACTCAGCAGGTATTTCTTCTCTACCATGAGCTGGAGTAATCGCTTCCTGCGGAGGGAGAGCGGAGCAGGGAGAGAACGGTGAGCACTGCAATGCAGACCACAGACCAGGAGGGAGGATCGAGGGAGCTTGGGTTTAAAAAATAATGTCAATGCTAAGAGGTGGATCGAATGAAAAGGAAACAATAACATTAAGAATTCACCAACATGGATGAACCTTGAAAACATGATGTTGAGTGAAATAAGCCAGACACAAAAGGACAAATCCTGTGTGGTCCCACCCACAGGGGCAGGAAGCAGAGGGAGGTAGCCAGGGTGGGGAGGGTGGGGAGTGAGCGCTTCACTGGATGGAGTCACAGTTTGGAAAAGAGCTCTGGAGTGACAACTGCACAACAATTCGAATGTGCTTAATGCCTCTGACTGTGCACTTAATGTGGTTATACTGGTAAATTCTAGGTTATGTATGTTTTACAATAAAAAAACACACTAAGAATCCACCATTGTTTCCAGCTCTATTGAGATGTAGTTGATAGATAACGTGGTATCACTGGAAGGAGTAACAATGTGTGGATTTATACACTTGTATGTTGCATCACGTTGGCCGCTGACCTCCGAGGTCAATGCTCCTTTGTTTTCATCCCCCTTTGGTGGTGAGAACATCTGAGATCTACTCTCTTAGCAACATTCATGTCTGTAATGCAGCACCACTGACTAGTCACACCACTGTGCTAGCTCCCGGAACCCACCTTACAGCTGGAAGTCTGTAGCCTCTGACCAACATCTACCCCTTCCCCCAGCCCCCAGACCCTGGTAACCAAATTCTACTCCGTTTCTATGAGTTTGACATTTTAGGTTCCATAGATGCGTGAGATCATACAAAGTTTGTCTCTCCCTCTGAGATGTTCTGAAGATGAGGCTGAGGTCGTCGAAGAGGACACCGGGGGAACTGGGGTTGGTGCACAGGAGGCCACACAGGGTGTCCAGGTCATGCTTGGAGAGGGAAAGCTTCAGCTCCATGGCCACGTGCAGGGCGATCAGGCCCATTCTCAGTTTACTCCTCACGGGAAAGTCCGTGGGCAGAGGGTCTTCGCTCTTCTCCAGAAACAGTGCCATGTGCTTTTGCAAACACTTCCACAGGTATTCCCTCACCTGGCCCAGGGGAAACGGAGACAGAAGTTTGGAGCCGAACCCATCTGAGCTGCACCATTGCTGCACCAAGGTCCACCTCACCTGAGCAGAGGCCTATGGCCCCGAGGGGCAGGGACTGCTCTGTGACCAGAGCACCCCCTCTCCGGGCCCAGCTGCCTGGGACCTCTGGGAGCTGCCCCCAACAATGGTGTCCGGAGACCCCAGCATGTGGAGGGGCTTTCAGGTAAGGGCCTGGGTGATTATGACGGTTCAGTGGTCATCTCATATATGGGCCCAGATGTATCTCAGAACTACCCCGGCCCCACCACAGTGCAAGTGGAGAGGCAGAAAGGAGGTTTCCACCCTTTCTTCCTATTGGTCTGGGGCCAGGTGAGGGATGAGCCAGGTGAGAAGGTGGGGCCAGAATTGGGGGCTGAACCAGGTGGTAGGGTTGGGGTCAGGTGAGGAGGTGGGACCAGCAGTGGGAGGAGGAAGAAAATAGAAAGGTAAACTCCTGTTGGCGGCATTTCCATCTTCCTTGACAGCAGAGGAAACTGGGGCTCAAGCAGCTAAGTCACCCCTGCCCAGTGCCATGGCTGGCTGGCACGTGATCCCAGGCCTCTGGCGACAGCCAGTGTAAGTGTAAAGCAATTTCTTCAATGGCAGGTGCCTATAATCAAGTGTCTCCTACATCACAAAGCGTCACTGCTTTCAGACTCGGGACACCTACACACTTCGTCCATCCACCACCATCCCCCCTTGGTGAAAATGAACAGCACTCAGCTGGCTTGTCCATTCGTAAAACCCATCATGTTACCACTCACTGTTGTCAGGGCAGGCCAGCTAATATCAGCCTCGAGTTCAAGTCAGACCGTGGCCGAGCATCTGCAGCAAGATGCCAGGACCATCGGAGGGTGGAGTAGGTGCCCCCACCCGGCAAAAGGCAAGGCCCTCCATGCTGGCCAGACATTCACGCTTCCGACGGCCCTGGCCAGCACAGCAGCCTGTCTCCTGAACTAAACTCGGAGGTGGCAGAGACCCACGTTGCTTTTGTAAGCGTCCTGGGCTTGGGCTCCTACAGCCACTCATCATGTGATGTGGCACAGCACAGCCTCTGCAGAGCCGCGTGTTCAACAGCTTATGTCAGAAAATGAGCATCTATGCCTGGGACAGGGCGGAGCAGTGATTCTCAACCGATGTGCCTCGAGGCTTTTAACACCTGCACAGCCTACCTATGGAGTCAGGGCCCTGGCCGCTTTCCCTGAGGTTGTCAGGTAAAAATGACAACAGCCAGCACAACAGTAGCTTTCTGGTGAATGAAGCACAGTCATACCTATTCTGTGATAAGGTCAGCAAAGCTATGCTTTTGGCATGCTGCAGAAATCCAGTCATTAATGTATCTGTGCCATGCGGTGAAAAGGTTGAGAATCGCTGGGCAAGAGGAATAAATGTTGAAATGACAACAGTGAGTGGTAACATTATAGGTAGTTTTTATTTCTTGTACGTTTTCTTCCCCTCTATACCAGCACTTAATTTTATAACCAGATGAAAACCAGTAGAAATGGCTGTAAAATCATTTCTCTCTCTCTCCCTCTCTCTCTCACACACACCCACACCCACACCCACACCCACTACCTCTGAGATGTGCTAAAGATGAGGCTGAGGTCGTCGAAGAGGTCACCGGGGGAACGGGCGTTGGTGCACAGGAGGCCACACAGGGTGTCCAGGTCATGCTTGGAGAGGGAAAGCTTCAGCTCCATGGCCACGTGCAGGGCGATCAGGCCCATTCTCAGTTTACTCCTCACGGGAAAGTCCGTGGGCAGAGGGTCTTCGCTCTTCTCCAGAAACAGTGCCATGTGCTTTTGCAAACACTTCCACAGGTATTCCCTCACCTGGCCCAGGGGAAACGGAGACAGAAGTTTGGAGCCGAACCCATCTGAGCTGCACCATTGCTGCACCAAGGTCCACCTCACCTGAGCAGAGGCCTATGGCCCCGAGAGGCAGGGACAGCTCTGTGACCAGAGCACCCCCTCTCCGGGCCCAGCTGCCTGGGACCTCTGGGAGCTGCCCCCAACAATGGTGTCCGGAGACCCCAGCATGTGTAGGGGCTTTCAGGTAAGGGCCTGGGTGATTATGACGGTTCAGTGGTCATCTCATATATGGGCCCAGATGTATCTCAGAACTACCCCGGCCCCACCACAGTGCAAGTGGAGAGGCAGAAAGGAGGTTTCCACCCTTTCTTCCTATTGGTCTGGGGCCAGGTGAGGGATGAGCCAGGTGAGAAGGTGGGGCCAGAATTGGGGGCTGAACCAGGTGGTAGGGTTGGGGTCAGGTGAGGAGGTGGGACCAGCAGTGGGAGGAGGAAGAAAATAGAAAGAACAAAGAATTCCCTAGAGGAGGTATTTGGAGAAAATGAATGAAGGTCCACCATCTCTCATCTGCACCTGCCCATTGAGTCTAAGGGTCAACTGGCCACTAGGAGGTGGGGTGATGCTGGCTGCTCAGAAGATGGAGGGAGTGGCTGCATGTGCCCCCCAAGCCTGTACCTGATTCTTTGTGTAATGCGGGAAGGTCCAGGTCTGCGCCTGCTCCTTGTAGACCATGGGCTCACTGACGACAGAATAGAACTGGCGGAACTGCATGAAGAAGCTGTTCAAGTTGATGGTGCTCCACGTCTGCAGGATGCTGAGGACACGGTCCAGCATGATGGAGGCCGCCAGCTTCTTCTTTTTTACCACCTCATTCCCCACCCATTCCTTGACATAATTCAGGACTTGCTTCTTGATTCCAGTGGACTTCATGCATATAATGTCATCATACTGATGCCAGTCTAGAGGGGAGAGGAGGCATCACAACCTGCCTGACCTGGACCCTCTGCCCTGGAGGCGGCTCTTGACCAGCAGGAGCAGAGGAATGAGCCCAGGAAGGGAAGAAAGGACGACCAGAGAACTGTTGGGCAGGTAGCCAGCCTCACTCCCGGCAGATGCCCGTCACAGGTCAGCAGCACTGGGGCCGGCCTGTGGGGAGCCAGCTGGGTCGAGGACAGGGATGCAGATGCCATACAGGGGTAGGTGCCATCCAGCAGCCTGAATGTACTTTGAACATGTCTTTAGCAAGCTTGATGGTTCAGCAAATGTGGCACACGAGCCCCTTAGAAAATGGTCACTCGGTGGGTAAACACTTTATACTGAAACTGTGTCACTCACAAGTGAGTGAGCCCCACTCCGTAAGTGACTTAGTGCAAGTGCCACTGTCCCCGTACTGGGCATCAGGATGCCCAACCCTTGAGGGACAGTACAGGAGACAGGGCCTGGGCTGACAGACTCACTCACGCAACTGAATGCAGTGAGTAAAAAACAGCAAAGAAAAACACCAAAGGAAGATAAAGATATAAATAAGAAAAAGAAGACAAAAAGGAGAATAGGAAATGAAGAGAAGAGTGGCCGCTACCACACAGTGGGGTGGCGGGTGGGTACCACATGGAAATCCCCTGGAAAGGGCCGACGCGCCTCTTCCTGCTCCTGCCCTGCCTACCACTCTGTGCCCAGCCTCCTTCCTCCTAGCAGCTTAATGACAAATCCTTCCCCTTGTTTCCTCTCATACGTGAGTGCTCAGGCTAAACTGATGAAAACTTGCTTCCAAACTCACGTTTGTCACACAGGGCTTGGGTGGGGCCCCACTAAGCAGAAAGGACCCACATGGGTCCCGGGAGCCTTTGCCCATGGGAGGGCCTGCATGTGCCTGCGGCCACTGCCCATGGGACCTACCTCCTGAGCCCAGCAGCGACGACTTCAGGTGCAGGCAGCGGTTGACATCCTCACTCTCCTTGTCCTGAACAGAGCCTTTGTTACCTATGACCACATACTTGTATGGAACGGGTCTGTCCAGGAGCCGCTTGGAAAGGACGGCGCAGCCTTCAATGAGGGCCCCGACCTGTTCTAAGGGTCTGTGAACAGAGGAGACACCAGCCAGTTATCAGAAAATCCTCTTGGAAGTTTTAGTTCTTCTGAAACCCAGCATGGAGTGCATAGCGAGAGCTACACATGGACGCCAGCTGAGGCCCTGTCCCCAGACAGGACCGAGGGGCAGCGGGCCCTGGGGACACAGGGCAAGTGCATTGAGGGGAGGAGCTGTTTGAAATATTCATTTTCCAAAAGCCTAGGATGTCATCAGTTTTGCTAAAAAGCACTGTCACTCACTTGGTGATGTGCAGCTCACACACGTTGACATTCCATTCTGGCTTCCCCAGCTCTTCTCCACCCCGGACAACTATCTGGTGCTGGTCAGGGTTGAAGCCGAAGTCTTTGGAAAGGATGGCGTGGAAGAACACTCTGACCCCCTTCCCGGGGCCTAGAGGGCTACAAGAAAGCCACCAGCAAATGATGATTAGACCCCAACTTTGTCTTCCCGGCCATGTGCACATACAAATACTCATGCACATGTAAGCACGCGCACATGCATAAACACACACCCATACTCACACACATAAAAACACACACATACTCACATAGACATACTCACACATGGACAAACACACACACATACACATGCACACTCATGCACACACATGTGATCTGTGTTTCCTCACTGCACATTAACACACACCCAGGAAAAATCAAGCACATTGACACTTCAAACCTACCACCTGCGTTGTGGGTCCTCTCGCCTCCCCTCTACAGGGGTGGGAGGTGGGCATAGGGCAGGGGACAGTGCATTGAGGGAAGAGCTGTTTGAAATATTCATTTTCCAAAAGCCTAGGATGTCATCAGTTTTGCTAAAAAGCACTGTCACGATAGATTTCATAGAATGGATGTCAGTACATCCCTGTGGGGCTGCTTGTGAGCCAAGGACACTCACTTGGTGATGTGCAGCTCACACACGTTGACGTTCCATTCTGGCTTCCCCAGCTCTTCTCCACCCCGGACAACTATCTGGTGCTGGTCAGGGTCGAAGCCGAAGTCCTTGGAAAGGATGGCGTGGAAGAACACTCTGACCCCCTCCCCGGGGCCTAAGGGGCTGCAAGAAAGCCACCAGGAAATGATGATTAGACCCCAATTCTGTCTACCCGGCCATGTACACATACAAATACTCACACATACTCATGCACATGTAAGCACACGCACATGCATAAGCATACACCCATACTCACACACAGAAACACACACACATACTCACATAGACATACTCACACATGGACGGGGGCTGCAAGAAAGCCACCAGGAAATGACGATTAGACCCCAACTTTGTCTACCCGGCCATGTGCACATACAAATACTCATGCACATGTAAGCATGCGCACATGCATAAACACACACCCATTCTCACACACATAAAAACACACACATACTCACATAGACATACTCACACATGGACAAACACACACACATACACATGCACACACATGTGATCTGTGTTTCCTCACTGCACATTAACACACACCCAGGAAAAATCAAGCACATTGACACTTCAAACCTGCCACCTGCGTTGTGGGTCCTCTCGCCTCCCCTCTACAGGGGTGGGAGGTGGGAATAGGGCAGGGGACAATCTGCCCTGGAAGTGCTGGGGGGGACGAAGGGGCTGGCTAGTGCTCTCCCAAGTTCTGTGAGGCCAGTGCCACCTCTGGGACCCCAGGGACTCCCCTGTCTCCCCCGGGAACCTGGGAATGCCCTCAGTGGGGCGGATGGGCACTGTGCCTGCATCTGTGGGGCAGGCCACCTCATGGCCCCACAACCCCCTGCGCCGCACACCCTACCTCCCTGGAACTTCCCAAGCATCAGCTTTCCGCTCCTTCTGGTCCTTGTCCTTCAGGGCAGCCGTGTTGCTCCAATGGCCCCTTTCAGGCTCCTTTGGGTTTCCTGGCTTGGCTTTTCCCCCAGAAATGGCAGTCTTGCCTTTGGTTTTGGCTTCCTGGGACAAGTAACCAAACCCTCACATTTAACACCAGCCTCCAAGGTTGCCCCTGATGGTCTGGGCTCCCACCATGGCTTCTGAGGACTCCACACCCAAATTCTCCCCTCATTGTTCCCTGGGCACCAGCTTCCAGCTGATCACTAAGCAGCCACCACACTCTGCCTCAGGCCCTGGCCCTAGCATTCCTTCTGCCGGGGCCACGTCTCCAGTCTCCCCATGGCCAGGCCTTCACTGCAAGAAACCCCTCGTGGGAGAGGCCTTCCCAGGCATGTCCCCTGGGTGCACCCCAGTGCCCTCTGTCCTCATCCATTCTCCATGGCCCGTCTCCCCTCTAGAGAGTGAGCTCTGAGGCAGGAGTGATCGTTCAGGGTTCCACCCCAGCACCTATCGGCAAAAAACTGAATGAGAGGAGCCAACTGTGGGACAGACCGCAGGGCCACAACCCCTCCTACAGAACAAGACCCTCACCTGGCGGTGCTCCCAGGAGGCAGGGGCCCCAGCAGGCGACTGTTTCAGTGTCTGAGTCTTACTATGGGCTTTGTTCTCAGCCTCTGTCCCTGGCTCTGCTGGCTCGGCTGTGACAATGGTTTCCTGGAAGAACTAAAGACCCCAAACATCAGGGCCAAGACCACATGGACAGGGAGACTGTGACTCAATGGTATGAGGGTCAGCATTGCCTCCAGCCAGATGACATCAGGGTCATGGGCACAGTGACAGGGCCAGCAGCTGGGGCGGAGGGCAGCCTCTCCCATTCCCCGTTCCCAAGAGAAGTCCCAGAGGAGGAGAGGATGCCCTTCCCAGACCAGGAGGCCATGTTGAAACCACACTGCACAGCCAGGGGTCAAGGACATAGCAGGCCCACCCTGGTCCTCACCCCTCCCCACAACTCACCCTGGAGGCTGGGGGCCCCGTCTGCTGCCTGATGGCTGGCGGGTCTTTCCTGGGCTCTGAGGGGCCCCCCTGCGGCATGGGCAGCAGGAACTTCTGGGCAGCACCTTCCTTCCATCTGGCAGAGGCAGTGGGGCTGGCCCCCTCCTGGTCCTTCCCTCCTGGGGGGGCACCTCCTCTGGTCTGATCCTGGGGTGCTGAGCTGCCTGAAGACTTGTTTCCTGAGGCCTCTGCTCCCTCTGCAGCCTGGCCCTGTAGAGATCCTCTGCGGCCACCAGGCCTCTTACCCACGCCCAGCGGCTGGCTGGGCTGGCTGGGAGCACCATCGCCCTTCTTCAGCTCTTGGCTCCTCTCCATCTTCCCCTCAGGGATGGACATCACCTTTGGGTTGTTCTCAGAGTCTACAAAAGCAGTGAAGGGAAGAACCCGTCACCTCTGGGATATTAATTTGAGCTGGTTATTTTTAAGAAAGGGCAGCCATGGGAAGCTCTGAAAGCTGAGGAGACATTTACATTTGTGAGGGAAACCTGCATTTGTAAGGGGTACCCCTCACAGCACCAGGAAGAGGAGGGGGCCCCTATCTCTAGGAGCTATGGATGAAAGAAATAAAAAAAGGCCACATGCTAACTTGACTAGTTCAGGGAAGGCCTGCATGGCGGTTGTGCAAACTCAAAGACCTAAAGCAGGGGTCCTCAAACTACAGCCCGCGGGCCACATGCAAATACAAATATTGTATTTGTTCCCGTTTTGTTTTTTTACTTCAAAATGAGATATGTGCAGTGTGCATAGGAATTTGTTCATAGTTTTTTTTTAAACTATAGTCCGTCCCTCCAACGGTCTGAGGGACAGTGAACTGGCCCCTGTTTAAAAAGTTTGAAGACCCCTGACCTAAAGTAACCACAAAGGATGGTCTGAAATTAAAATTTAACTAGAAGCAGTTTCTAGTGGGTAGTCATGTCCTAGGCCAGTATTTTCCCTGACAAAGATCAACTTCCATCTTTACTGAGTCTATTGTCTTTCTGTATCTAAGATAACATTCCTGTGGAATGTCAGGGTAACTTGTAACTTCCCTTTTCCCAGACCCCTCAGGGCACAACAAATGGCACCAGGGTGAAAACCACAAATTCCCTCACTGTTATTGTTATCATGTTAATAGTCGACTGTTAACTATATTAACTATCCTGTATTCATCTATGTAAAAGAAGTGTGGAGGAAAGGGGCCACATGGTGACCTGACAAGCTCAGGGGAGGCCTGCATGGCAGTTTTTCAGACTCAGAGACCTAAAGTAACCACAAAGGATGGTCTGAAATTAAACCTTAACTAAAAGCAGTTATGGTGGGCAGTTACGTCCTGGGCCAGTATCTTCACTGACAAGGTCAAACTTTACCTTCACTGAGCCTATCTGTCTTTTTGCATCTATGATCACACACCCTTGAAATGTCTGGGTAACTTATGACTTCCCTGTATCTGGAGCCCCTGAGGCACAACCAGGTGTGCTGGGTCCCAGGACAGATACCACAAATTCCTTCATCATCATGTTAATTGTTCCTGCACCCACCTAAGTATGTGCCCATCATTTTACTTTTTATCCAATCCCAGGGGTTTCCCTGCTTTGCTTTATCCCTCCTCCTTAATCTATCACCAATTTCATGTAACCCACCTATGTTCCTCCTTTGATTGAAATGTATAAATACAATTGTAACCCCCATTCTTCGGAGCACTATCTCAATTCGTTGAGGTTCTACTTCCTGGCATATGTCGACAGTTTGGCTCAAATAAACTCACAAAAATTCTTTATAGGTTTCAATGGTTTTTTTACATTAACAGAAGCATATGGCCATCATTTCACTTTTTATCTAATTCCAGAGGTTTCCCCTATTTGCTTTCTCCCACCTCCCTAATCTGTCACCAATGGATTTCATGTAACCCACTTACGACTTCCCGTTTGATGGTAATTTATAAAAACAAGGTAAAAACCCTCCATTTTTCAGAGCATTATCCCAATCTGTTGAGATACTGTACCCGGCAATTGTCGTCTGTTTGGCTCAAGTAAACTCACAAAAATTCTTTAAAGGTTTGAATGTTTGAGTGTGCCGGGGGAGGGGAAGGGACAAGCAGGATGGTGAATGGGATAAAGTCACTGGGGTGGAACCAGCGCTGGGGACTAAAGGTCAGACAAGAGGCACTTTTTTTTTTTTTTTACTTCTCCTGCTGACGACCCACATCAACCCCAAAGCAGCTAACGCAGTTTAAAAGCAAAACAGGAGCCTGCCGGTGTTGCTCATTGGTTGGAGCATAGACCTGCACACCAAAGGGGCATGGGTTCGATTCCCAGGCAAGGACTGGTACCTGGGTTGCAGGTTTGATCCCCTGCTCCAGTTGGGGCACAGGTGGGAGGCAACCAAGCGATGTGTCTTTCTCACACCATTGTTTCTCGCTCTCTCCCACCCTCCCTCCCTTCCACTCTCTAAAAAGCCAATGGAAAACAAAAAACAAGCAAACATGAGACTTCGGAGAAGGCTGTTCAGAGAAGGAAGGTGGGTGGCTCCAGGCATCACCTGAACCAGGAAGAGTGTCCCTCCCGTTTTGGCTCCAATTTGCAACTTCAGATGAGCCCCACCTCCCTGAGACTCAGTTTTCCTTCTTGCGGGAGGGCTTCCTCGGAGTCCCCTCCCACCCCTGTGGGACGGACAGGAAAGAGCTGTCCCCCCCAGCCGCTGTCATTACCGACACCCGCTCTCGCCGAGGCCACGATCCCCACACACATCCGGTCCCTGAAGGCGGCGGCGGCCGACTGGGTCCCCTCTGGGACCTGGTAGTGGTGTGCCAGGTAGGCCCGGGCGGCCTCGAGGCGTGCCCGGGGGATGGCGGGAACCCTGTGCTGGCTGAAGGCCGAGGGCAGGTAGCAGTGCTCCCGCTCGCAGTCGCAGACCAGGAC